AGCTATAGAGTATACTGCCAAGTTCAAAAATGGAAAGATCAAGAGATAGATGGCGAAGAATGGGGATGGAAGCGTCAGGACAGCCATATGACTCCAGTTACAACAGATCTTCCCCCAGCAGCCGATAGCCTGCTACAGATTATGCGATGCAATTGTAAAAGTGGTTGTAACACACTAAGATGCTCGTGCCGAAAGCATGGATTSCAATGCTCCGTTGTTTGTGGTCACTGTAATGGCTCTGGCTGCGCGAATTCCCCGGACGATGCCGTGAACAACGAAACCGATATTAACGAGGAGCTTTAGGTGCTTTATATTCTAGTTTTAGCAAAGACATGCGTTAATTATATTCTTTCTATTCACTAGTTTTGTATATTATTAACTAACAACATTGCCAAAAATCAAATAATCAAAAATTACAATTTAGGTTTCTTGACTTATTMTTCTTCTTCTGTTGTCAAAAACAAACATATTTATACATATATTTACTTTAAAATGTCATAAATAKAATAAGATTTAAGAAAAAAACATCCAATTAAAACTGTGTTGCGATTTTATAGTGTAACGTAGCAATATTCACAAATAAAAGTGCACTTCCGGTCAAAGCCTCGTTTCCATGCTATTGTTTTTACTGCATTCTCAAAAACGTCGATTTTGAAGATGTTCCGAAAGTAGGATTTCTTAGGACTTTTGATATGTTGTTCAAGACTATTTCCTGAGGCAAATGCCGTTGAAAAACCTTCTGTTGCAATTAGTGGTGGGTCTAACCGTATATTGACTGGACTATATATACCACCGGAAAATTAAATTTGCAAATAAACATAGATCGTCGATACTTCTAAAGCCATTGAAAACTACTACGCCGTACTAACTTTGAACAACGAATATTGATATGCTTGGAAGTTCTGTAACACCACAATTGACGTCGCCCTCTTTTTGAAAACGCATTGATGTCAGCCTTTTTGAAAAGTGCACAGCTTGAAGTGCCACAACATTTTACGTCATGTCGGGAAAAACACAATTGAAACCCTTGTTTTTACTTTAGCGTCTAAACCTCAGACACCATATTGCCCCCAACACAAAATACCTTTATGCTTGAAAAATTTTCTAACGTAATTAAATATATTAGACAATTTATAGCACTATACCAAAACGATATCATTTAAATACTTTCAGAAAATGCTAGAGATTCGTTTCAAAATATTACTTGTATTTCCTTTTAAAAGATGTTTTTGACTAGCGATAGGTAAATTTATCTACTCATTCCAAAGTTGACGGATGGCTTCATTCGTCGCTATTTGACTAAAAAAAATTGAAACTCGCTGTTACATTAAAATGAAGCATACATAGTGTTAAGAAAGCGAAACAACCGTTAGAATGACCAACAAATAGAAATTCCGAAATAATAATCAATATTATATGAGAGCTGTCTGTTTCTAAGTACAGTACTAGTCGTAGAGTTAACGTTGACTAAGTTGAACGAAGTTTTTAATTTTATCCCAGCCATCTTTATACTAAACTCGGATCGACTATTGATCCTGGAATTTATCAACTAATATTTTATTGGTGAAAGAGAGTGTCAAACCTGCCTTTCTCTCTGTAACTTCAGTACTATTACTAGTGGTATAATTAGAAACTAAGTTTATTTGATATCACCACAACCACCTCATTTAGTATCAATATACTCAACTTACTTGTCTCTTGTTTAGGTCACCATTTTCCACCAATTCCTGATATTTTTACATCTTTATGAATTGTAGTTGACGCACCCAGGTTAGACAGTCTTGATGTAAGAGAAACATCTGCAAGTAAGCATTTATCAAGAGGGTGTGATCAACCAATAGCTGACGCAGCTCAAGTCGAGGCGACGCTATTGGTAACTTTATTAACATAATGTGGTGTTGTTTTGAAGTAGAGATTTTATTCAAACGCAACTGTTAATTTAATTAAAATATCTATATTTTTTCCATATAATCTCCTTGCTTTGATATTTACAATGGTTTTCCATACTAATATTGTACTGTAAAATGTGTCGTCATCAGGTTTCGGCATAATTCCTTGCGCAAATCAAAGTTCTTTAGGAACCTTTGCTGTTCGCAGTAAATTGACCAAAATCAAGCATAACATCAACAAAACTAGCTCAACTTAAAGTTTAAACATTTAGAATACGTAAAACTACATGAAAGAAGCAAGTTAGTTTGAATCTATTATGATGAATGGGGGTTCCCCTAGTTGGAGTAGTCGCCTTCGGGTCTATTTTTATTTCAGCCAAGCGTTAACATAAAAGTTTCAGTGAGACACCTGAATAATTAAGATCAGTCAAAACATTGGTTAAAAACGGTGGAAACTATAACATTAAACTAGTGTGAGCTGCATCCTTCGGTGTTTCTAAAGAAACAGTTGTGTAAAAAGATAAATTTAACACCGTAAAAAAGTTAATTTCAATCCTTCGTCGGAGTAAAGAGACATTGGGTAAAAACACATAAACGTTTTATTACAATATTAACCTAGAAAGGTTACTGGATCTATTTCCCTACATATCTGCTTCACATGACTTCAGGTGCAAAAAACTGACAAATGCAAGCAGATCTCACACCATAGAACTATAAAAAACTATAAAAAAATAACTAAATATATAACAAAACGAGCTATCATAGGGATCGATATCAAATCGAAAAATATCGTGAGTCGCATGCAAACGCTGATCACAGCAGATCACAGGTTAAAGAAACTGACACTGAAGCAATGTCAATAACTTTACACACATCCCTTGCAGTGCCATCTTGAAAAGTGACTACATTTCTTTACATCAAAGCAAGACAACAAGCCTGCAGTGCTGCTGGTCTGCTGATTCAGTGGAAGCTTAACGTCGTGAAACAGCAGACCACCGGTATCGCAGGCTAACTAATAATGGAATATTTTCAAAAACACAGAGCACGATAGGAGGTATTACATACATTATAGTC